AGGTCGGAGGAGGGGGTGTCATAGGGCCACCGTGCCCCACTCCTGCCCCGGGGAGCCCTGCAGAGAGCCTTGGGGACAGGCGGGTCCCCAGGGTGTCACACAGCCCCCCGTCACCCCCCTCACAGGCCCCGTGGGGGTGCCCCCCGCCTCTTACCTTCTCCCTTTGCTCACTCCACCCCGGCTGGACGAGCCCAGCCAAGAAAAGGGGCAAAATCCAGGCGCTGCGGGAGCAGCCCCCCATGGTGGGGCGCAGGGTGAGGGGTGCTGGCACCCCCCTGACAGCCCGGGGCCAGCGGCGGGGACCAGCGCTGCTGTCGCCTGCTGTCACCTCCGAGCCCGGCGGCCAAGAAATAGCTGCGGGGCTGCGGCGGGGGAGCCAATGGCCGGGGGGGGCCGGGCCGGGGCCGCGTTAACCGTGTGGGCTCTGGGACGGACACACGGACACACGGACGGACACTGCCCGGGGGTGGCACCACGGCCTGGCAGGGACCGGGGGCACCCACGGGAACACGGGGCAGCGGCATGTGCAGAGGGTTTATGCAACAAGTTATCCGAGCCGGGATAAACCCGCAGGTTGGGAGGAGAAGTGCCGGGGGGACGGGGAGTGGGGGAGAGAGGGGCTGGGAGATGGAGAGGGGCCAGGGGGGCAGAGGGAGCGCGGGGGGGAGAGAAGTGTCGCAGCAAAGAGGTGCCCTATCCTGCGCAGGGCACCCAGCCAAGGTGACATTTCCCCCCAGAGGGGTGCTGGCACCCGAGGAGCAGGGACTAAACACCCCCAGCAGCATCCCGGGGAGGTCGGGCTGGGGGTCGGAGGGGGAGTGTCCCCCAGTGGTTGCAACGGCGGAGCTGGGGAAAGTTGATCCTGCTTTTCTCCCTGGTGCCCAGTAAATTAGAGTATTGTTGGAAGCAGCCCTGGAGGAAGGTTCCTCCTGGGGGGGGGCTGTTCTGGGGCTCGGGGGCTGTGGCTCCACGCTGACCCTGCTGCGGTCAAAGGCAGGGCACCACTGTCCCTTAGCCCTTGGTGTCCCCAGGGGCAGGAGTTTCTAGGGTCCTGTTTGCATAGGCAAGGAATGCAAACGTTTACCCTGGGCTGTCTCCAAGGAAAATATCCCTGGTGAGGTGTAAATTCCTTGAAATCCCCCAACAAAACCATCTGATGGGAGAATTAACTGGATAGGAAACTGCGGTTTGGGGTGGGGGCTGGTCTGGGATGCAGGGCAGGATGGGGTGGCAGTGGGTGAGCCCTGGGGGGACGAGGAGTGCCAGTAGGAGCTTTGGCTTTACAAGAAAGCAGGGCCACGATGGTGTCAGCGAGCCGGCTGCTGGAGATGCCACCAGGGAAGGGGAGCGAGGACGTGGGTTAAGAGGAAGCTGGGAGCAATCTCCCAGTCCATGTTTTTCACCGGAAGGAACACCATGTCCTTGGAAAGGCTGATATTATCTGGCTCCAAATGCAGCCTCAGATGATGTGGGAGGGCTGGGAGTGGGGTGCATCCTTCAGGCACCCAGGGAACCTGTGGAGTAGGGCAGCTGTGGGTCCCTCCGCCACTGGCAGCATTCCCAAAAGCTTTAAACCTGCACTGCTACTGGAGAAGTGCCTTAGCCCTGCCCTGGCATGGGGTGTGGAGTGTTTCCCCAGGTTCAGACAACCCCCCAAGATGCTCATCTGCTGCCTGGAGATTGCCCCGAGCCCATCACAAGGTGCCAACAGCCAGGCTGGCCACAGGGATGCTCCAGTTGACCCTCATGGATGTGGGGGAGTGAGGCAGCTCTTTGCCAAAACCGGGGAACCTGTAGGAGCCATTATTAGGGGTTTGACCCTCCCCAGCCACCTCCCAGGCTCTGGGTAGATTTGGGGCCACAGGGCCATGGGGCTGCAGCTCCTGGCCAACACACTGCTTGCACCTCTCTGCATCCTGCAGCCCACAGGGACCAATGTGAGCCTGGCACAGTGCCCTGCTCCCCAGCCAGCTCACACTGCTGAGCCTGACCAGGCCTTGAGGGTGGTTGTGTCCCTTCCATGTGTCCCTGATCCCTGCCATGCACAGGGAAAGGCTGAGCTACTTCAGAACTGAGTTTTCCTGAAATCAAAATAAAAATAAGGGACCTCTTTCTCCAAGTCCCCTCTCCTTGGGTGCTGGTGCCAAATCATCCTTGGTGGAGGTGGGGGATGGAGGAGTACTTAATGAGCCACAGCCGATGGACACCCTCTGTGTCACTGAGCTTCCACGGCAGCCTGGGTATGTCACCCAGTGTCCCCACCATGCTCTGCCTTGCTATGCCCAGGCTGCATGGCAGAGCTGAGGGTGCCGGGGGCTCCAGCAACACCGTCTGAGGGCAGTGTGTCACTCTACCCTGCAGGACTGAGGTCCCCCACCCCCAGTGGCAGGCGCGCTGGCCGGGCTGACCCTCGCACGAACCTCCTTCCCTGCTTGTTTTTCCACCAGAGCTGGGCAGGAGCCAGCCCCCGCCTGCTGCAGATGTTTGGCAGGAGTTCGGGGTGAGAGGCCAGGCACTTCCAGCCCCGTGGCCACCACACTGCTGCTGCCACTAGCCTCCCTGGCTGTCCCCGAGCTGCGTGCCAGGGGCTGCAGAGACCTCGTGCCAGGCTGCAGGGTCACAGCTGAGCACAGAAAGCGTGAAAGCAGGGGTGGGGACCATGTACTGCTGCTGACTGAACTTGTCCCAGAACTGACCAAGCAGTTTCTGCCATGTAGAGTGACAGGCCAGCAGTGTGCCAGGGTGGTAGTGGTGAGCTTGAGCAGCAGCAGGCAGCACTGCCCTGGCTCGCAGCAGTGCAGCTTCCCTTTGGCAGCCTGACATGGCATCAGTCCCAGGGCAGCCTCTGAACTTTTGTTCTAGGTGTGCAATGGGAGGCAAAAGCAGAACAAGCTCTGCCAGGCGAGAGGCCCCAGATCTTTGGGCACGAGGCCTCCACACGCTGCCAGCCCGCAGCTCGCCCAGCCCTCGCCACCCTGCCCCAGCCCATGTGCTCCCGCACACTGCTCTGGTTCTATGGCAGCCTCCCTGCTGGGCATGGTGCCCAGCACCTTTTGGAATAAGGACCCCCTTCCCAAGTGCCCTCGCAGCCCCCCAGGCTTTGGCCTGGTTGCTGCCCCCTCCCCATTGCCATCCCTTCCTCTTCCAGGGTAAGATTTGTCCCCCTGCAGAAATGCCACTGACTCCCCCCCCTTCCCATCGCAAAGGGAGACTGTCCAAAGGCAAGGTGAGAGCCAAAATCCCCCATCCCCTGCTCCCTGCCGGGGTTGCCCCATCCTCGTCCCCCAGCAGCAGCCCCCATGAGCCAGCAGCCAGCTCCTGCCACACTCCAGCACCTCTAGGAAAGTATCCCAGTGGGTGCTGAATCACCTCAGCGCCTGCATCGTGCCTGCTTGCCACAGTGTCTGCTTCTCAAAAGGCAGGAAAAGGCTTTTTTCCTTGGCAAAACACCACATAAACACTGCCTCTGAGCTCCAGCACTGTTCAGGCACTGAAGCCAGGGCTGAGAAGGATTTGCTTATCTTACTCCATCCTGGAGGAGGAATTTCCAAATCAAATGTGTTGGAAATTCAGTCTATATCCATTCTCCCCTATCTTCATTTAAAAAATGTCCTGGCTTCTCCCTGCTTTCCCCCAGCTGCCATTTCACTTCGTGTTTGTTGTTGTTACAGGCAAACCCCTCTTTCCAAGGCCTTTCCTGGAAATGTTTGCCACGGACTTGAAACTTTCCAGAAAACTCATACTATGAAAGGAAACCTCTCACATCCCTTGGCTGCTCCAAGGGGCACACGGAGGTGGGATCAGGCACCGGGCATGGTTACATGGACGGGGGGGGAGGGGGGTGTGGGGAGAGGTGTTTCATGCTTTCCCTCGTGTTTTGCTCTGAACCAGGCTTCCTTCTCAAACCATTCCAATGTTTGTGGCTTCTTCCCTATTCCTCTCATAGCAAAGCTGCTCAGCTCACGTTCCTGGTGCCAGATGCCGCTGGCCATCCCCACAGTGTCCCCAGGGAAGCAATGCTGGGGTGGGGCACGGCGGGGGTGGGGGGGGTAAAGCAGAGCTGGGGCTGTTCCCACCCTGCACATCCGTAATGTCTTCCAGCTGCTGCTGCACCGTGCCAGCACGGGAGGGAGAGAGGAGGAACAACAGGAAAATAACTCCGGTTATTTGCCTCAAATTCTGCAACTTGAGAGGGAAAGGGAGAGTCAACAGCTCGAAACAGAAATTTGTTTCTGGGCTGGGCAAGGAATACACGTCCCTTTCCTCCCGGCACAACCACAGCCCGTGGCTGCAGCGCAGGCATTTCCTCTGCTCACAGGGGTCTGTGCTGGGCTCCCTTCCTGGGGTGGGAGGTGTTTGCCCAAGGTCCTACTTCCCCGGGAATCGCCTGCCCCTCTAGCCCCAACCCATATCAGATGCCAACTGCTGTGGATCAAGCCACACGAGATGAGACAGGATTTGAACACTGCAGGGCTGGTTGCTCTTTCCAGCAGACAAAATAGGATTTGAACAATTCCCACCAGCATCACGGTAGTGTTTCCCCACATCCCTGACTCATCCTGTTACTTGAGACCTTTCCTGCCATGAGTCACCAGGACACCGTTTCAGCCCCAGGACTGCTCCTGCCCCACTGACCCCTGCACGAGGCTGGTGTGGGGGAAGCGATGCTGGTCACTAGAGTGGGAGGAAAGCAGCCATCACCGCTGTCAGAAAGTCCTGAGGGATCCTTCCTGCTGTCTGACAACCATTGCCCAATTGAAGTTTGCCCTCCCAGAGCGTGGAGCTGGGCTGGCAGTGTGCCTCGCATAGGGCTGCGGCCTCCAGGCTCCAAGGCCAGACAGAACCCCAGCACCTTGAGTCAAAACAGTGCAGGAGGTCTCTGTGCAGGAGCACAGAGAGGGCTTCTGGAGAGGCTGCAAAGTATCTCAGATCCTGCACACAGGCACCCAGATGCCACCTGTAGTGTGAACAGAGCCACACAACATGCTCATGTGTAGGTTAAAAGTCCATTTATTTCATAACAAAGAGCAGTGCAAGAACTTACATGATCCCCTGCCACTGACTGGGCACAAACCTGCTCCTCCCACTTTACCTGCCCAGGTGAGAGGTGCACAGACCCCCCAGTGGGGCCGGTGTGTTGGGTGAACAGTGAGGGCTCTCACTATCGGGAGCGGGGAGCACAGCCAGCGTGCAGGCAGACAGGCTGGCAGGAGCTGCACACACTCCTCTGCCCTGTGAGACCCAGAGGAACCAAGAGCCCCATAAGATTTTCCTACAATTTCAGCAGATAATGGATAGAGGAGAAGCCAGTGCCAGCTGCACATCTGCTGTGCAGGCAGGACGGGCTCTGTCACCGATGTTTTCAGCCAAGCCTTCAAACTTGCAACCAGAAGCCACATCCATCTTGCTTTTACCCTTTTTTCCAAACACCCTGAGAGCTGGGACTCCAAAGAAGAAATAATTTTGTCGGGCATTTCCACTCCTTGCTGCTTGCCTGGAAGGAGATGGGATCACCAGTGAAGGCAAGACTAGCCTTCCTGCCTCATGGCAGCAAGTTGTTTCTAGCTGGACACATCCACAAAGTCATCCACTTTGCTCTCCCGCTGCTGCCTGTGCTGCCACCTCCCCTGTGGTCCCCGTGAGCTCGGTGGGCAACAGGAGGCAGTGAGTTCACCCAGCGAGAGCCTGGTGCCAGCACAGGGGCAGGCATCTGAGTGCTGGCCAACCCCGGCTCCAGCCCGTCTCTCCAGCTCTCAGGGTGCCCCATTGGGCTCTGCGGGGTCCCTGGCACAGGGTCCCATGGCCGCAGCCCCCTGCCCGGCCGTGCCCCAGTGTCCACACCTCACACGATGCCGTTGCGCGTGGGGTGAGTTCGCACGCGGTAGATGACGACGGCAGTGGCCGGGCAGAGCACCAGCGCCGTCATCACCAGGATGGTGGCCAGGATGATCAAGACGATGACCCAGACGTCCAGGATGTGCTTGGGAAGGGCGGCAGGACCTGTGAGTTCCAGGAGGTCCATCCTGCAAGGGAGAGGCAGGGGGGTGATGGGGCAGCCCCCTCCATCCCTCCCACAGCCAGAACCCATGCGCTGCTCTGAGCAACCCGCTGCTCTCTCCAAGCTGTGGGCAGGTCCTGCTTTCACCTTGGGCTCCTCTGAGAGCCTTTGGTAAAGGCTCCTTCGATTAGCCCCAGGATTTACAGCGTGCTTTGAAAGCACTGGATGAAAGCCTAGGGAAAAACTTCCCTATTAATTGCTGCCGTTGTTAAAGGAGCTGATAAAGCAAAGCCATAACAGGGCATCCCGCTGGTCACTCACCGGTGGGTCATCGCGTGGGGAAATGGTGGGGTCAGGTCAGCCAGAGCCCCCCTCCCTCCTGGGGAGCCTCCTCTGTGTGTGTCCCCACACCTGTACTCCGTGCTGAGTCACCGAGTTAACAGCTCAATGGGGCGGAGGGGCCGGAGAGCGGGGACCCCCCTCCACAGGGACCGCGGCTGCGCCCCCGTCCCGCTCCTGCACCCTGGGGGTGGGGGACACGATGCCGTGGAGAAGAAGCGTCAGCTGCCTGTGCCCTGCCTGTCCTGCCTGTGCCCTGCCTGCCCTGCCCTTGCCCTGCCCGTCCTACTTGCCCTGCCGATGCCCTGCCTCTCCTACCTGCCCTGCCTGCCCCCTGCATGCCCTGCCCGTCCTACCTGCCCGCATCCCCTTACCTGCGGCGCTGCCCGGCTCCGACTCGGGCTCCGGCTCCGGCGAGAAGCGACGGCAGCTGCGGATCCCGTCGGGGGAGGAAGACTCCGCCTGGCCCCGCCCGGCCCGCGCGGGGCGGCAGGGAAGGGGAAGGGGAAGGAAAAAAAGGAAGGAGAAGGGAGGGGAGGGCAGTCAGGACATTTTTTCTCACCAGGCTAAAGCAAGGTCACATTCCACCTCATCCCAGCCAGGACGGGGTCCCACCGGGGGAGACCATCTGGAGCCGAACCCGAAGGTGTCAGGTCGGCACCGTGGGAATATTTAACTTCTTAGCCCTTAACAAAGGGTTCTCCCCTGCCCCATCCTGCTCCTGCCACAGCAGGGCTCACAGGTCTCACCTGCCCCCGAGGCCCGGGGGAGGCGCTCCAGGGATCCGGGCAGGGTGATTTACAGAGACAGGGAACAGCGTTTCCACTGCCCACTGGAACATTCCGCTCCATCCGTGATGCCGAATGGCTAAAGCAGATGTGAGATGCTCTGATTTTCCTGCTGGGACACCAGCTCAGTGTCACACACAGTGGAACCTATGCACTGCATCCTTCACTCCTGCTTTTTCCCAGGGAAACCTGCTGGATTCCCAGTGGTGGAAACCCCCTACCCACATGCTCTCAGACCCCCCTGGCCTGCAGGCACCTTCCCGGGCCCACAGCACAGGCAGAGAGCCTCCTCCCTGCCTTCCCAGCTGCTGCTGTTGGATAAAGAGCACGTGGGGTTTTTATCTCGAGCTGTGGCAGATCCTCATGGACAGGGGTTTCCTCCGGAGCTGCCAGTGGTGGGTAGAGGGCAGGAACTGACTCCAGGTGCTGTGCAGGGATAGCACAGGGGTGGGAATGAGGGATCCATGCCACAGTCCAGGCTCTGACTGGTGCTTGGTCAGGGTGTCCAAGAGCAAACTGGGGGTGGTTTGCTGATGGAAGCTCTGCCCACACAGCACAGCATCCACAGACTTCATGCTTTCCTGCTGATCCCATGACATGGGAATGTTTGTTCTTGTCAGGACCCTGTCTTAGCGGCCATGAGACGGAAGAGAAACCACCTTTGGGGTGTGGAATATTCAGCACTGCATCCAGCTCTGGGGGCCCCAGCATAGGAAGGATGTGGAGCTGCTGGAGCGAGTTCAGAGGCGGCCGCAAAGGTGCTCCACAGGCTGGAGCCCCTCTGCCCTGGAGACAGGCTGGGAGAGCTGGGGGTGTTCACCTGGAGAACAGAAGGCTCTGGAAAGACCTTAGAGCCCCTTCCAGTGCCTAAAGAGGCCCCAAGGGAGCTGGAGAGGGACTTTGGACAAGGGATGGAGGGATGGAAAAAAGGGGAACGGCTTCCCACTGTCAGAGTGTAGGATTAGATGGAATATTGAGAAGGAATTCTTGGCTATGAGGGTGGCGGGGGGCTGGCACAGGTTGCCTGGAGGAGCTGTGGCTGCCCCACCTCTGTTCCTGGCCGGGGTTTGGAGGCCCCCGGTCCCCAGGATGTCCCTGCACCGGGATCCCCCCGGGCCGCCCCGCCCCGCCGGGCACGTGGCCAGGGCGGCGCGCTGACGTCACGCTGAGGCGCGCTGACGTCAGGCGGCGGCGCGGCGGAGCCCGCCCGCTCTCAAGATGGCGTCGCTGCTGCAGTCGGAGCGGGTGCTGTACCTGGTGCGCGGCGAGAAGGAGCTGCGGGCACCGCTGCCGCAGCTGTACTTCTGCCGCTACTGCAGCGAGCTCCGCTCGCTCGAGTGCGTCTCGCATGAGGTAACGGCGTCCCGGCAGCGCCGCGCCCGCGCACCGGGCGGGACCGGGCGGGACCGGGCGGGACGATGCGCGCAGAACGGGTACCGATTGGGTGGCTCTCCCGCCACTCACTCGCTTTCTGCCTTCCTATTGGTCGGTGGCGCTTCTAGGGGGTGGGCGCAACGCTGCTTGGGGTGCGACGATTGGCTGTGGGTGATGGGTGGGGCGGTGCTTCGCTTTAGATTGGCTGTGCCGCCTGTCCGTCGGCGGAGCTCGGGCTGTGATTGGCCGAGACCAGCGCACAGGGGCGGCTCCCCCTCGTGAGGGAGGTGCCCCCCCCTCAGCCTCGGTCGAGGGGAGCGGGGACCCCCCAAAACCACTGTGAGAACAGTCTGAGGCAACGAGGGCCCCCCAAAACCTTTGTGGGACTGGTCTGGGGCACCGGGGCCTCCCTACCCCTCTGCGGGGCCCCACCGGGAGGGTCAAGACCCCCCCTCCCACACACATCCCCATCGGGCCCGGCCGGGGAGAGGCAGGGACCCCCCCACGCTCACCACTCCACATTATTTTACAGTGTGATTTCTGTTGTGGAGGGTTTGTGGCTTCACAAACTGTCATAGTCAAACAGGTAGAATTGATTTTGTGGAAGCCTGGTTGAACTAAGAAACTGTGATAGATTTGGAAAGCCTTGAAAGAATGACTGTGCAGCCCTGATCTCAGAAGAGGAGTCTTTAAGGAAAGGTTGAGGCCTCTGAACAGCAGATTTGTCGCCAGGCTGCATCCATGATGGATTTACTGTGGTGTGAGGAGTGTAGTCATTGTGCATGTCCATGTTTAATAATCAGTTTGAATTCCTCTTCAAGAAGGGGCCCCCAGTCTTGCTGGTGTTGTTTTAATTGACAAAATTCGATGTGACAGCAGACAGATAAAAAGTGTTCTGAATTGTACATAAATCTGAGCAGCGCAACGGCAAGGACAAAATAAATGTAGGTATAAGTAGAAAATAACATGTTAAAACCTGTGGTTCAAGCTGCAGAATGAAATTCTGGTAGCTGCTAAAGGCTGACCTTTCCTCACTTACAAGGTGGAGTAATTTAATCCATTCTGATTTAAGAAACCTTCTGATTCATGTTATTAAAGAACAAAATCAGGCTGAAACAGGCTAAGATTTTGAATACCATAAAATGCCTCAAGCCTTCCCTGGCTGCACCAGGGGTTGCCAGACACGAATCCCTGTTGAATCGTGTGGCGGGTGCCATGTGCTGTCTGGTGTGCCAGGTAACACGTGTGATGTGACTGCCTTCTCCTTCAGGTGGACTCCCACTACTGCCCCAGCTGCCTGGAAAACATGCCTTCAGCTGAAGCCAAGCTGAAAAAGAATAGGTAAGGTTGCTTTTGCTTTTATTTTCATCAAGGCTCCCTATTTTAAACAGCTCCTTCCTTAGTCAGCACCTGACGTATCTGTCTGAAACTCTTCAAAAATTACATTGGTGCTTTTTACCATTGAGTCTGTTTTGGGGAATAAATCATTGCCATGATCTATCAGGTGACGTTCATGGATTTTTTTCATTTTTTTTGTGATGACTTGTTTCATAATACAAAGAGGTTTTTATTATCCCTCGGTGTTTCTCACTGTTGCCATTCTGAAGTTGACTCTGAACCCCTCCTCTTCCCCCGATGGCTCTGGTGACCTTTTTCCCTCGAGGAAAAGGTCGGTTGGTTTAATGTTGATCTGGTTGTTGAGAGCTTTTCCCTCAGCCTGGGAGCCTTCTCAGAGCACTGTGTGGTTGTCTGCAGGTGTGCCAACTGCTTTGACTGCCCCTGCTGCATGCACACCCTCTCCACCCGTGCCACGAGCATCCCTGCCCCGCTCCCCGACGACCCGGCCAAGACCACCATGAAGAAAGCCTATTACCTGGCCTGTGGGTTCTGCCGCTGGACTTCCCGGGATGTCGGGATGGCAGACAAGTCTGTAGGTAAGGGACAGTTAGAAACAGAGAACTGAGTTACAGCAGGAGCCCAGTTTGTGTTTTGAAGGTGACAGTTAATCACATTAGCTCCTGACTGTACTGTAGGTTTAGGACCTGCCTAGGGTTGGAGTCACAGTTAGAAATTCACAGGAAAGTGGTTTGTTGCTGAAGTCTCCTCTGAAGAGCTGAGCTGAGTTAGTGGAATGTGTGACCCACTTCCATGTTCTTGTTACCTGACTAGTGAGAAAACTGTCAAATGAGGGGCTGTGTTAGTGCTCTCTCCCCACAACCGAGGTCTTGTTTGTGTGCTCTCAGAGCCTTTGAAGCTACTCAGTCTGACAGCATAAACATGTAATTTATTTTCCATCACTTCTGTGCACCTTGACTTATTCTGGAGTTGCTAGTCAGTGTTTGTACTTGTTTTTTCTCTTCACAATAGCACAAAGCTTTCATCTATTTTTGGTATGTAAGATGAACAGAAAATGTCTGTCAGGCTCCAGAAACGGGGCTGAGTAGGCCAAGCAGATTCTCTGACTTGCGGTGTTGATGTAACTGAAGACTGGGAGCTGGAAATGCAGAGACAGTGGCAGCCAGTAACAAGACACACACATAAAGTCATGTACCTGCTGGTAAAGTGACTCCTAGCTGCTGTCCTGAGTGTCTCTCAAACAGCACTTGTTTAAAAACACAATATGAAAGCTGCCAAAGCTCCTTTAGCCCTAAACTGCCCGTAAAAAGCTTGAAGAGGTGGATATTTGTACAGGCATGAACTTAAAGAATTGCAGTGGTAAGTGTAGCAAAAATAGGCAATGTCATATTTTATGAGTAACACTGAGATAGTTGAGTGTGGGGTGTGATGGAGTCTGGAAATCTCCCGTGGACTTTGTTTTTTCTGTTTCCTCCTGCAGCGAGTGGTGGTTGGCAGGAACCGGAGAATCCTCACACACAGAGGGTGAGTGAGCAGGAAGGCCGTGCTTGGGCTGAGATGGATCAGCCAGAAAGAGCTGTTAGAGGTGTCAGGCCCTCTCAATCACTTTTTCTGCATCTATATAATCCTTCAGATACCAGTTCCAGTTCCTAATCTCCACCTTGACTGAATTCAATGGAGGGAAGGCCTCTTAGAGGCTCCCCTGAGGATATCGCAGTATAAAATCTCCTTTTGAGAAGAAACTCAATTGAAAACATCCTATCTAATAGTGCTGTTAGAACACCACCGGTGAATATGCTGAGTATGTATGTGAGAAAAAGCTGTTTTCCAATCAAGAGTGTGTCTAGGATCTGGAAAACAGAGCTGCACCTTTAACACCCTTCCCTGTCACCCGTTAGGGCTCCACTCTAAATGTGACCAGCCTCGGGGAGGGGGGAAAAGATGCTAAAGATGCTGTTTGCTCCACTAATCCAGATTGCTGGATTTTGGCCACACGACATTACTCTGTCTGGTCACGGCAAATCCATGAATGAAGTCTCAGTTGCTGAATTGCAAAGTGAGAACTGGGAAACTGCTCTCCAACACACATCATTCCCAAGGGAGGGTCAGTTTGTCACCCAGACCGTGGGTTAAGACATGTTAAGACACACAGACTTCTTTAAGTGTATCCTTCGCAATACAGCAGGCAGTGGGAACTGAGTGAAACAAGTAGCAGTGACCCCAGCTACTTCACAAGCAAACACTGCAGCTGACCCGACGTTGCTCCCCTTACACTGGGTGCCTGTTCCTTTCCATCCCTGCAGATTAACAAACTGGTTGAGTACTACCAGCAGTTGGCTCAGAAGGAGAAGATCGAGCGGGACCGGAAGAAGCTGGTGCGACGCCGAAACTACGTGCCCCTGGCCTTTTCGGTGAGCTGGGTGTG